AATTTTTGGAAAACTGATATATATTGAATTATTAAGAAATTTAAAATAACATAAATTTTACGTAAAATAAAAATAACAAATAACATTAAGTAATACAATTGGTAAAAATGGTTTATATATTCTGATTGGTCAGAAAATTATAAAACAAAAATTTTTTATATATTTATATTTATAATTTATAATTGACAAATAAAAATTATGCTTAATTTTATATGATAAACTGTTATATTACCATATAATAAACTGTATGTATATATCTTTAATTGATTAAAATAGCATATTATAAAATCACATATATTGAATAAAACAAAAACTAAAATTATTTATTACACTTTTAAATTGCCTTATACTTTTCTTTATCTCTATTATCCTATTTTCACTTTAAATATTTTTTGAAAGACTAGTATTACTACTAAAACTACTGTAATATGATTATTCACTTTTTGCTACTTTAGTAATGTTTAAATTTTCATATTTAATACAAACATCTAGATAAATTTTAGCTGAATAGTATAATTTCTCAACTTGCGATATATAGGATTGTGAGTTATTAAAAAAACTCTTAAAAATATTTCATAAATAGAATCCTTCTTTTCAGACTTTTTCTTATTATTATTATTATCAGTCTTTTTCCTTATTATCTGAGTTTTCAAATTTGTATTATCTAATTATTCTATCTGAATTTTTATCCTATTCACTTTTATAAAAATCATTATCTTCATTTATATTTTTTAATTGTCAGCTTTTTATCATTATATTTATATTTTGCTAGTTGTTTTGGTAATACAGCTATTACTAAATCACATGTATTATAAAATAATATATCAAAAATTGTATTTAAAAACCCTTTCAGTATAGTCTTATCTTTTTCAATAAGTATTTTATATTGAATAATAGACGCAGCTTTTCACATTCAACATAATTTATAATAATACTAACATTTTTTATATATACAATAAAAAGACAAAATAAAATAGTATTATATGTTTTAATCTTATAATTTTCATTTTACAATTCATTTTTATTTTAGCATTCTTAAGTGAAAGTCTGTGATTTTCTGTTATTTGCTTATTATATAACTTCTTAAATGACTTATAATATATGTCTTCTCATAGTACTGGATAATGATACCTGACTAAACTCTTTTTTGAAAAATTGAAATTTCGTCAAAAGTTTCGTCTCTTTAATATTTTTATATGAATAAATATAAAATTATTTATTTTTTAATGTATTTTAATTCAAGGAATTTAGATCATGTTAAATATAATTTTGGCAATTAAGTAAAATAATTTCGTCATTAATAAAAACTAGTTTTGTCAATTAGGTTTCGTCAATTTCGTCATATTAATAAAGGTAATTTCGTCAGGTATCACTAGTACTGGATCTGAAAAATAATGTAATTATTCAAAATCTTCTAATGAATAACAAGATGAATGATAAATAAAACAATCTGATTTACTACATTATTTTATTGTAAATGAGTAATGCCTTATTATACAATAATGGTTGAAAAATTTTGCAGAAGTGACTTTAAATAAAATAAAAAAGTAATTGAAGTTTTTCTTTTAATTTAATTAATTTTTATATTTACCTTTGTTTATATGCTCTGCAGTACAAACTTTATTAGTAATATTATCATCTATTGTTTCTAAAATATTTTTATTTTCATTTCTGATGTTATAATAAATATTTCAAAGGATTTATCTTTAAGAGACTAATAGCTGAAAATATTATAATCAAATTGATTAGAGCTTAAAAGACTTGCAATTAAATCTTCTTTTAAAGTAGAATTTTTTTCAGAAATTTTGTGAATTTCATTTATTATATCACATTTACTTATTAATTTCTCATTTCAATTTGCATCAAACTAATACTTTACAGTCTTGGATTTAAAATTGACATAATTTACTAATTTACTTAATAAGATACTTTTAGAAATGTTATGGTAGAGTTTAGACAATAACAAAATAATCAAGATTAAAGATGCCAGCTGAAACTCCCTCAAAATAATTTCATCATATTCTTTACTATGTTTTTAATATAGTTTTGGTTAATTTCAAGTTTCGAGGTTTCATCGTACCCTCACTATGTTTTAATATAATTTCAGCTGTTTATTAATTGTTTTTTTTGAGTTTCGTCCTTCATTTTTAATTAAGATCCAATGCAACTTAAGGTAAATATAAGAGTTAAATGCAAGCATATATGCAATAGTGATCTGATCTTTATAGAGACATAATACAAGTTTGTTAAAAAGCTTTTTTTTAAAAAATATATGATACAGCTTTGTTGTGTATGTCAGAGAGATGAAAAAAGTTAAAAATTGGATCTTTTAATTCAATTTGTATGTTTTCTACATAAAAATCACCATCAATTCATTTCAACTTAAGTCATACTATTATATAATTTAATATTATATAAATTACAATTTTTGGAAATTTATATAATTCTTTTTGGTGATTTTCTGATTTTTCGACAGCTAATAATTACCTTTTTAGAAATTTGTATAACCGTATATCCATATTTGGTATTTTGTGTAATCTATTTTAATGACAAAATGCAATTTTAGGAATTTTAATTATGACTATTTTTAACATATTTTCTTGAATATATCAGCGTTTAGTAATCCGTTAAAAATGTAACACATATCGTTTTAATAGGTGCATCTCAGTGAATACGTTAGTATAGAATTTACAAAATTTTGATAAGTAAATCATGAGATAATAGCCCCTGAAACTTTAAATATATTTGCTAATTATATAAATAATAAAATAGTAAAATTATATTATATGATTTTATTTTACTTAAATTGAGTCAAGTCAAATTTAAATATAACTCAAGTTGAGTTGAGTTAGAATTTTAAAATTTTTTGACTTAACTTGATTTAACTCAAATTTTTTGAGTTAAGTTGAGTTATCTTTATTCTTAATTCAACTTGACTCATTAGGAACTTTATTTAAAATAAAATTCTAGATACTAAAGCTTAAAATATCTAAATAAACTATTCAAAAAATATATAAATGAAGGGTATTCAATTATATAGCTACATCTAAATCTATTAATTTCTCTTATAAATCAAGTTAAAAGACTTACATTTGCAAAATAAAATCAAAATTATATAATAGCTGATTGGAAAAAAGTAATTTGATATGATGAATCTACTTTCTTATAATTTTAAACTTCAGGATAGGGTAGGGTTTAGCAAATATCTTATAAAAAATTTAACAAAGATTGCATTACTACGACTGTGAATAAAATCCTAAACAAATGTTTTAAAACTATTTTTCATGATTTGATCTTAATTCTATTATTCTATTAATTAGCTTTGTTATTGGTAAAATATATCATAAAATACTAAAATTATATACTATTTTACCTTTTAAAGTATAAACTTAAAAGTTAAAATAATTTGACTTCTAAAAAGATAATATATTAGTATATACAGCAAAAGTCACATAAAATTTTTTCAATTCATATAATATATAAATTTTGTTATAGTTATCTCAAAACCCTAACCTTAATCCTATTAAGAAACTTTAGTTAATTATTAAGTCAAGATTTTGAAAATGTAAATATAAATTATTTAATATTAAAAAACTGAAAAAGTAGTTATTGAAGATGGAAATCAATTTCTAAAGAAAATATCAAAATCCAATTAGTTTTATATCCACTAAAATTTAAGTAATTATTAAGAATTATAATAAATATTAATTAATTTATTATAAATATTTATCAATAACAATATATATATATAAAATAATCAATAAATATAATTATTCAATATTATTTTCACTTTACTATATATAAACCTTAAATAAAAAAATATATTTTTCTTAAAATTCTAATAGGTTTATTACTTTAAATATATAATATATTATATTTAAAAATCATGGATTACTTTTATTTTTATAGAATATTTATTAAATTTAATCTATATAAAGAAATAATAATTATAAGTAAAAAAAGAATAAATATTATTCTGATAATACTAATAAATATATCTAAAAAAGCAAATTACAAAGTGTATTTTTAATTATAGTTACCAATATTTTTCACTTAAGTAATAGTAGTTTACAAGAGTCAAAGGTTAATACTAGAAAAGGCATAATTAATATTGGTTATAAAAATTTATGATTAGATAATTATTTATTGTAATTTCACAAGTTTATTTTTTTAATAATATCAGTTTCAAAATTTTAGTTTCAAAATCTTCAACACAGAATAATTCATAGCAATAAAAAAGAATATATTATTATTTTTATTTATTTATAATAATAATAATAATTAGGGTTCTCAAAATTGAAACGAATTAAATATTGAAGCAATTTGAATTTGATTTAATTTTTTCAAATCAATCAAATCAAATTTAATCAAATATTTGATCAAATTGAATTGAATTGAATAAAATATTTGAAATTTGATCAATTATTGACAGTTCACAAACTAAGCATAACTTTTTTAAAAAAAATGAGTAATATTTTAAAGTTAATATTTATTATTAAGAATACAGTACTTTCACGATTTTAAGCACTACATTTTTGAAGAGTTTTTGATTACTTGATTAACAAAGATTTGTTGTAAAAATAATATAAATATATAACTTTTATAAAAAAAAAAAATTTATACGCCATTGTTCTTAACAAAAAAAAAGTAATTTACGGCTTTTGTTTTAATGAATTTTTTATTTAATTATTTAAATGTAAGTGATGCTTATTTTCATTTTTTTAAACTCTTTTACCAAAGTCGGAGTGGTGCTTAAAAGAAGAATATGGTATATATAATTTCACTTAGGGAATCTAAAGAGGCGATAATTCTGCATTTAGTATTATTTTAAAAGAAATGAAAGCTGATTATCATAGTCCAAAAATACTTAGTGTAATATTATAAAATTTGAAATAAAATACGGGATCGATTTCTAATTTCTAAAATTATTCACTCATAAAGAGAAAGAGAAAAAAAAACAAAAATTAAATTATTAAATTGATAATTCGAAAAAAAAAATAATGCCTAAAGAAAGAAAGACATCCGCTTCTAAAAAATCTTATCAATCGAAAAAGAGAAAAAATCGTAGGAAAATTCATTTTTTTGATACACCAGAATTCCAAGCTAAATTAAAAACGTCTATTGATGAAAATTTGGAAAAGATAACTCAGGAAAAGGGATTTAATTAAACATTCCGCTCAAAGATTTAAGTTCTCATTTAAGAGGGCAAGCCGAAGAAAGGGAAAGGTAACCCATTTTTTTTTTACCGTAAAGATTTACTAACTCGAATCAGAATTGAAAATCTCAACGCAGAATAATATCGTTTTCTGGTACATCTTCTTTCAAAGTCCAGCCAAGTAAGCATCAGAATCCCATCAAATTAAAAATAATTACACCATATTATCCACCTTTGCGCTCTCATTCATCAAGACCCATTTCCTAATTACAAATATCAACCGAAACCAAAGGAAACCATTGGAAACCATTGAACATAAAAATAAATTTAATATCAAAGATTACGTTAATAATAATTTATTAATATTGAAGAATCGAGATTCGATGAAAAGGTGTAGAGGACCGTTTTCCCAAATCGAGGAAGCCCAATGCCTCAAATCTTTAAGAATTTTCCAGGGATTTTACAAAAGATTCCATTATCAACAATTCCATCTACCGAAATAAAGTTTTATGAAGACACTTCAACCTCCTCTCACATAAAACAAATTCAACAAGATAATTCCGCTGAACCTGAGTATTATGAATCAACAGACTCAACATCAACAGATCACAACTCCCTGAACCACCCGAGAATAACATGATAATGATGAACCGATACACTTCATTTGGCGGGATTCAAATTGATTCGGCACCGGAGGATTCTTCTAAATGAAGACATTAATGTTTCTTCTACGAACCTGAGCTATATTACTCATCAAAAATCGGCGATTCTCAAATTTATACCGATCAACCATTTTTTAACGATCAAAGTTCCGACAATTATATGAATAATTTAAATGCTCTTTATGAAAATGACCCGTTACAAGCATATTAAAAATTTCTTAACGATGGCCAAACGAGCAATTGGTTCACAATCTTACATTAAACATACATAAGTAATATTGAAAAGTTTGGATTTTATTTATTAATTTATACACATTTTTTTATATAGATAAAACGTAGATATAAATAGAAATAATATCGAGATATTTTTTATTTTTTATTTTTTTTAAATTGTTAGACGAAGAATTGATTGTTCGTCAATGGTAAGAAATAAATTGTTCATGTCTCTCCCGATTCTTATTTTTTTTTGTTTTAAAATTTGCCGCTTATGAAATCATTATTATTCCGACTTGTAAGTAAATTATTTATTTTTCGTTATTGTTTTGTTTCATATCATTATGTAGATGAGAATATTAAAAATGAAACAATATTTACTAATTCTTAAATAAGCATAATATTATTTATTTAAAACTTAAATAATAAAAAAATTAACTTGGATATAATACGATAAATTAAAATAAAATTATTAATATTGTGCGCCAATTTTAGTAATTATTAAAAATAAAAATACAAATTTTTGTTTTGTCGGAGTTTCGTAACAGGGTTGTAAAATTCTTACATGGTAAGAAAAATATTATGGTTTACAGTTACACAAGTCACATAAAAATTTTACATGTTTCACCTAATCAAACTTGGGTGTAATTTATTAGTCAATTATTAGATCGTTAAAAAAATTTTTGTTCATTTATTCTTTATTCTTAATCACCTCGTCATCATCATCATACATTATTTTAAATTCAATATTTTATATTAAAATTAACTTTTTGTTAAAGTAATTTATGTTTGCTTTAAAAATATGGCGATTAATAAATCATCATAACAACAACACTTCAAGGAGAAAGAAATGGAGCATTTTGTTCTATATATGTTTGTAATATGTATGATGCTATCGTGACGATCATTATCTTCAAAATATAATTATCATTAAACTACTTTTGATGAAAAACTGCTTTTTCAAATTTACCGCAAAAATACTTACTGCATAAATAATAATAAATTCATTTAAGATGAATATTCAATACTATAAAGGTTAAATGATATAAATTATATTGATTGAACTAATCATGATATATTTCCTGTTTTTCATATTATAATAAACAATTGAATAGTACTATTGGTAATTTCATTTGTCTTGCAATTTCTACAATTTTAACATCTTTGCCAAATAATACGTCTAGTTTTAATCATAAATGTAAATAAATCAAATTATAGTAGTGACGGAAAATAATGATAATTTTACGTTATGTTTTTAATCAATTTTTATTTTATTTACATGAAACTTTAATGACATATAATGTAATACTATATGTAAATAAAAATAAAATTTTAATGGTTAATTATATATATCTTCTTTCCAATAACGTTTTTAAATATTTTTTTATACTTGCGCATAAATTCGATAGGAGGTCTAAATCAAGATTTTCCGTTCTGACCGAATAATTGATAAAAATCATTTAATCCAGCTGGTTTTTTTTGTATTATACATTGATTTACCTACCTTATTTTCTGCCTTTTTTTCCATTATTGCCCATAAGTTCTCTATAAAATTGTATTCAGAGAATAAGATGATCAATCAAGCACTTACAAACATTTTTCTTGAAAAAGAATCATTGTTAATTTTGCATTATATTTGAGTCATTATCCTGTTAGAATGTCCACTTCCTTTCAAAAATTCTTGTAATACTAGTAAAAATTTTTAGTTAAAATGTCTCAGTAAATAATGAAATTTAACAATTCTGCATACACAGAAAGTACCTATACATGAACTTTGAGTAGATGTTTTACAACTGCATGTCATTTTTTTCTTCTCCAATCTTATTATATCTTACAGCAGGGTTGGGAATTTTGTATGTACTAGATAAAATTAATACTGTACTATTACTGTACTTGTATTAATTTTTACATTAATTATTATAATGTACTAACTGTACTAATTGTACTAATCATTATACTAATACTGTACTTCACAACCCTGCTTACAGTGTAATATTACAAATTAGTTAAAATATAATTTCATCAGAAAAAATGCTATTTTTTACATTTTTCATTAAAATGAGATTTTAACCATCTATATTTTTTAGTAGCGATAGTTAATATTAGTATTGATATTGGTATGCAAATACAATAACCTAAATTAAAAATATATTCACAGATGATTCTGAAAGCTAATATTAAGGTTTGGATATGACTGGTTAAATATAAAAGCAATTTCTTTGCTAATTGCATATTTTCTTATGCTAACTAATTTTCAAAATGAGTTCATTATTTTTTGAAAACAAAAGTTTAAGCCTTTCTGAATGTTGTTTCTGGTTTAATAGTACCAAAATTTTCAAATTGTTAGATATAAGTGTATAATATAGATTTCGGAATATATGTTATTTTATGTAATTCATTATATTATAGACTTTATTTATTCATAAATTGCTTATAAATAACCATTTTTTATTTAAAAAGAATTATTTTATCATGATATAAAATAAGATAAATAAAAAATTTTTGCTAATCTTGTGTTGGTCTAATAATTACATAAAAAAATAGAGTTAATTATTAGAAAGAAAGTGATAAATAAAGTTAATTAAGTTATCATTATTTTCGCTATTATTATAAAATTAAGAATTAACAAAAAATAATAAATTGTGAATACTTTTTTACCTATTATTATAAAGTATATTAATTTTTAAAAATAATATTAAAACAAAAGCAAAAACTTAAATTTAAATTTATTAAAATATTATACTATATTTTTTTACAATTCAATATTTAATCAATAGTATTATTAATATTTGATCATTAAATTTTAACATTTAATTTAAATTATCATATTTCTAAAAAGAATTTAATATTTAAAACAAAAAATGTTAAAAAAATTTTTAAATAAATTTAATTTAATTTATATATAATAAATAATATTAAATTAAAAATAGTAAAATTTTAATTATAAGAAGAAAAATATATATATAAATCCTAATTGAAATAAGAAATAAGAATATTTAATTTTTATAAAATTTAGTGTAATAAACTAAAAAGTTATCTTTTAGATCACATGATTTTTATCTTGTCACAAAATCTATCCAATCAGCTTTAATTGGCAGATCCTCAAAATCTACCCAATCAACCAAAAATTGGCAGATCTGTAGAATATGCCA